TTATCCTCGGAGATCGTGCATTTTATGAAGTTTTGTAGTGGGGTGTACAGACGTTAGTTACGTTGCTGGAGAAGGTGTGGAGTTGACTGTACGCAAGGAAAGTGTTGTTATAGAGGAGCGCAATTTATTCATGACAGAAATTATAATCGAATTGGGTTACAGCCACGCGTTCATATACGTAGCAGACTTTCGGTGACTTTCTTACTATTCCTCCACTCTCACAATTAATTCACAACACGACGCCGAAGTGTACGCTCCTGTAGCGTCTTGTTGTGGTTGTAATCGTGTTATGTGAAGCAAATGAATAATAAATAAAATAAATAAATACAAGGTTAGTTCCTGTCATATTTGTTTGTTGTTGTTGTTGCTGTTTTTTTACCCGAAATGTGCTTATTCCAAGGAAGGGATAATTCTTTTTGACTAATGACGTATTTTTAGATCACAAAGTTTAACCTCAGCACGTACCTCATGATAAACTCATGACTTTATTCACTTTTTTTTCTTTTTTCCTCATAAACAGAAGATGATGAACAAGTTATTTCGAACTACGCCGTTGTCTTTACCGAAAAATGCTCGTTTCATAGTCTGCCACAAATAAAAAAAACGGGCGGGGTAAGTAATATTTGTGGAACAAATTCAGTGCCGTCAGGTACGTGACTAAATTAAACGGTTTTGCAGATAACACAGTTTTTTATTAACACTGTGATAATTTTTTGCTTGCAGCCTAGTACAAGTGAGAGTTTGTACATTTATGAAAAAATTAAAAAATGCAGCAAGAATTTACTAACGGTAAGGCTTATTATTTGTATCTGGATACACCTTATTGCGATAATCGATTGTCATACAAAAGAAAAGAAAAGAGAGATGAGAATTAATTACAGTCGACTCCCGATAATTAGAAACTTCAAGGGAAATAGAAAAAAGTTCGAGTTATCGGGAGTTCGAATTATCGAGGGTACAGTTATGGAAAATGATGTGAGGGAATTGAAAATTACTTCCAGTTCACGGGAGGTTCGAGTTTCCGGGAGTCGACTGTACCTTGGCCTTGGCTTTCAACAGTGCATGGGATTTCGAGCTACAGTACGTTGAACCTCCATTAAGCAGGGGTGTCAGAAAAAGGCGGAGTCGTGGCCTATCTTTTTGTTAAAGAATGCTGCTTTAGGGTTACGGTTAAGGGTACGGGTTGGGATAACGGTCAGGGTTATGGTTAAGGGTATGTTAGTGTTAGGGTTAGTGTCAACCCCAACCCAAAACAGCATTCTTTAAAAAGAGCTAAAAGATAGAGCCCGATCCTGGTCCCGGCCACGACCCCCAACCCGCGTTTTACTGACAGCCATTAAGCAGCCACCTATTACGCGGACTCCTTCTATTCAGCGGCCAGTATGTAAAGTCCAAAGTTATTCCTCGTGATGAAGGCAACAATTTCGCGACTATTAGCTCTACTTACGTCTCGTCTAGGTGCATTTTTTGGTTTCCAGGCACCCTTTCATAGAACTGTTGACGTCAAGGAGCATTATTTCAGTGGGTCAGGGTTAAGGTTGGCGTTGTTTTGACTGCTTTTGAGGCCGTTTAGCGGTATGCACAGTAACGTAAATGATCCCCCAGATCAACATGGACCCAAATGATCCGTTGAAAAACTGAGGAATGGAATGGATGTTAGTTGGACATTAGAACAAGAATGGGGCTGCTACTTTTACAATGTAACCTGGGAGAGAAAAAAAACTTTTTCTTCTCACCTTCTAAAGAAGAGGGAGGAATGATGCTAGATCAAAAGGTTAATTTATTCAACGAGTAAAAGGAAAGGAACAAATCTGACAAGGATATGGTATCAACCGTACTTCTTCCTTTGGCAAATGCTTCAAATTTCGTCTCGTCGCTATTAAAATTTAACACAGGCTTGACGTCACGCGGAAATAACTATACAACTTCTCTACTGAGCTTCCTAATTCTTGGTAAAATCCAAGATGGCGGACAAGATGGTGACCATTGTTGGTGACGTCACAGACCTCCAGCAGCGCCGCCGCCAATAAAATAAATCTCATCTTGTTGAGAAGATCAAGGCTTTCCACTGAGGGTAAAAACTCTACCTTGTACCACGGTGGGGGTCTGAATTTGCTTGTACGTCCGGGGGTTAAGATAACTAATATTTTGAAATCAGTTTCTTGATACTGCATGATAATTGGCTCGTGAACATCTGCAAACTGTTCCTTATGAAAATAAGAACTTATTAGTAATTGCAAAATATCTTTTTTAGATATACGCCTTAAATAGATGTTTGGTAAGTGCCGGAACAACACTCACCTTTGAATATCCAGGTATGTAGATATGCACACCTGGATATTGCAAAATTTATTTTCGCCTTTTTTTGTTGACCTCATCCTTTATTAATTCTCATTTCTTCTGAATGATCTTTAAACTTCAAATATAGCCTTCTAGGGGCGCCTCAAAGCTATACAAAAAAATCACACTTTACATTTTTTTTCTTTCATATGTAGAAAAATTTTATAGCTTTTAATTAGTTTTGCACAAGAATCGAGAACTAAGCTTTTTGTCGTACCATGGAACCATAATAAAGGAATTTAAAAGGCACTCAGAGGTGTTAGAAGCCTCGAAAGAATAGGCTTGTTTAGAGAATGTGACTCTCCTTAATATGTAAACATTGTATGTAATCATCCCATCGTAAATTATTTGGTATGCAGTAGTAATTGGTTTGTGCAACAATGTCAACTGGTGTCAAACGAGAGAAATTTGTAAAAGCGAAGCAAAGTAATTAACGTGTCAACTAAGTGTAAATAAAATTCCACTATAGATAAATAGATAAAATAAAGCTAAAACAAAAATTACTATAAGTGCTTTTAATCTTCATTTTCGTATCTTTCTTTGTAATAGGATGCGCAAACGCCACAGATTTCCCCAAAGAAGAGTGCTACAAATGTAAGTATACTCTTTCAAATCGATTACTTTGATAAAATTTTGTGCTTACATTTAGTACAGCGTAACGAAAAGGCTGATACGTTCCTATTAATAAAACTGCTAGTGAAATGTAGTTTGTCGTCTTTCTTGGTATACTCTGAAATCAGAATGAGCTGGTAAGTCCCCCTGTGGCAAAGACCTGTGTATAATGACATCATGGCGGCCATCTTGTGTGCTCATTCCTCGTAACTCTCGACATGATGTCATTAAACTAGAATTTAAACCTCTGAAAATTGGAGGGAACCCAGAGGCTGCAGAAAACGCGTCAAATTGATAACCGAGAGAAGTGATGACTCGCTTGGGCAGACATTTAACTTGCCCGAAGTTTTAGCAAAACATTGACACACATTGATGTGGAATTAGATGTAATATGTTTGAACTTTAAAACAATGAGTTAACGAGAACGTTCTTTAGTGCGACCATAAAATGCTAATAGTTTCACCTTTAAAAGCCTGTGCCATCACTTAGCAAATCAGTCATGACTTTTGACTCCTTCTTTGGAAGACTGGATCACCTGCTGTTTGTATTGCAGTACTCTTATATGATATTTTTGCAGAAAAGGAGGATGTTATATCATACGTCATTGTTACAATTAAGACCTAGCAGGATTTATTGATATAAAGTTGCGTCCATCTTGTGTTGTTAGATTTGTCTCTCAGCAGAACTTCCCACTAATTTCCATTCTACCAGAGGCCTAAAGCATTAACATATGGTATAACATATGTCGTTCAAACTCATAACCCTTAATTAGCTCTATTTGAATTAAACCGGCTAACAATAGACCACTTGAATGTCTACTTATCTGAAATATCACACCATAAATTACCCTTTCCACGATTTTCCCAAAACTTCTTACTGATTTTGCTTTCCAGTTGACCCGCCAGATTCTCCACCTGAGGACCTAATAGTTTTGAATGCAACTTTTGGATTCTCCTCCATTAATGATGATTACACTTTTAATGCGACCGTCGCTTGGGAGCCACCACGTTATCCTTATAAAGAAGTTTCTTTTTATATATACCATTGGACTAAAGTCCTTGAGTTTGTTACTGAACATGTTCCGAAACTTTTCAGCACTCAGGTAACACTTTAAGATTATATGTTTGAGTCTTGTTTTCTCAAATGTTGATGTATATTGCTCTAAAAATGCATGGTGGGAGGGAATCCGCGTGACAGCCAGGGAAACTCAAAGGGGAAAACAATGGCGTGGCTTTTTATTTTAGGAGGTTCATATATATGGAAAGCCAAATGGTGCAAAATTCAAGAACCAAAATTGTCTTCACATTGAACAAATTTTTTATCAAGGTCAAGAGAGATTTCAATCAAGCTCACCAAAATCAAGTCACGTTCAACGGATTTTCTTTCAAGGTCACGGCATATTTTAATCAAGCTCAACAACAAAAATTAACACATTCAACAAATTTCAATTCAACGCTTAGAGAATATTGCGTCAAGCTCAAGAAATGAGCTTTCCTTTCTTCCAACGAAACGTTTTTCTCAGTTTTCGAGAATCGTTCGACATCGACCCCATATTCCCGTCATATGCCAGAACTCGGCCCTTCAAGGTCAAGCTCCAATTGCCATCACTCTCAACGTAGCCAATTCTCGCATCAAACAACCAAAGGTATGTTGTCAACAACCAACTCAAACACTGTCAACAAAGTGCTTTTTCACAATAATGCAATAGAACCTTGTTCCCAAATAGGCCCTTTTCACGAAAGTCCCGGTAACTTTAAGGGCCCGAAATCGAAATATAAAGAATAAGAGCTCGGGTCCTGGGTAGCAAACAACTCCATTTTGCTTCATTAACTGACAGTTTTATCATGTTAGATGCAAAACTATTGAAACCTCGATCTTTAATGTAAACGGAGACAGCTTACTGGGCCCGTTAATTATCGGGACTTTCGACAAACGGGCTCCTGGGAACAAGTTCCCACTGTATTTTTTTCAAGTCGGGGAGGGGCTGGGAACTAGCATCTTCATACATTCCATAATATTCTTCTTCCTCGGCAAACGTTAATTTTGAGATGGCGGACAATTCAGATTCACTGGAGGACGCAGTTCGAAGATGTGTCCGAGAAGAACTTAATACACGTGGAAATGCCAGACTCAGGTGAATAGAACGAGAAACTCGATTCGTTCATCTGCGTCCTTTAGTGCGAGACAGCTTGGCGAGACAGGTGAACAACAATCAGCTTCTACGTCTGAATTTTCTCGAAATGCACCAGCTCGTGCACACAATAGATCGACTTCTTTAACCGGACATCCTTTACGAAATAGAAAAGCGCCTTCTTCAAAGCAAAAGGGGCATGTTGTGCCGAAGACAGTGTTTCTTCTTGATCAAGTAAATCTCAACGCTGATGACGAGGAAGAAGATGGCAGTCAAAATGATGAATATACAATTAAGGAGGAAATGATTTTAGTGAAACGGGAGTTTGATTTGTTAACGGGTGCAGATGAACAAACAATTAGCCAAGAAGGGGATTTATTCAAAGTCAAATTTCCACTGATATCAGACACTGACTTTGACTTTGTTAAAAGGAAGAGAAACACCATTTTAACACCTGTAGTGAAAGAAAATCATTTATGGGACTATGCACATTTTTTTTCTTCTTTCTATTTCTTGTAGAACCGAAGCACAGTCCAGTCGTCTTTCAGTCGCTAAAGTTATGACTTGTTGAAGAGCAAGAAGGGCTGACTCCATTCGAATTAATATATTTTCTCTCAATCTCAAATCTGTTAATTCGTAAAACGCTTCATAATCAGTCATCAAACGGAACAATTCTTCAAAGAAATTTTCCCATTCTTCGATCGTGGAAGCTCTGTTTGCAGCCATGTAGAATTTTGGCGGGAAATCATGCAATGCATTATGGGTTAAGTACCACATTTACCGTACATGAAGTACATATTGCATTGTGGGAAAGCACTTTGTTGACAGTGTTTGAGTTGGTTGTTGACAACATACCTTTGGTTGTTTGACGCGGGAATTGGCTACGTTGAACTGAACAAGCCTCCAGCAGTTATCTACTAACAAGGCTGCTGGGATGGACGACCTTAGTAGCTATTTTCTAAAAATAGCAGCCTCGTCTATCTCTCCATCTTTGACTGCTATTTTTAATCTCAGCATTTCTTCTGGTGTTTTCCCCGATCTTTGGAAAACTGCTCTCCACTGCATAGAGACGGTTCGTTATTTGACCGATCCAGTTATCGCCCAATATCAGTTCTGGTTGTTGTCTCAAAAATTCTTGAGCGTCATGTGCACCAAACTTTTTACTACTTTCTTTCCCAACACGACCTGCTGCTGGATTCGCAATTTGGTTTCCGTAGTTCTCGTTCGTGTGAGCTTGCTATCACCGATCTTTCTGATAACATTTTGACTAACATGGATAACAAACTCCTTAATGGGCTTTTGTTAGTCGACTTGAAGAAAGCTTTTGACCTTGTGGATAATGATACGTTACTTAATAAACTTCGTATCTATGGTTGTTCCCATTCTACCATGGTTTGGTTTCGCTCTTATCTATCCGGGCGTTCCCAAAAAACCCAGTTTAGGGGCACTCTATCTGAAGCACTTCCAGTCTCTGTAGGTGTGCCGCAGGGTAGTATCCTGGGGCCACTTTTCTTTATTATTCATATCAACGACTTGCCGTCAGAGCTACATTCAGACGTAACTTCAACTATGTTTGCGGATGAAACTACTATTCTTGTTCGAGGGCCCTCTATTACTTCCCGCAGCACTCAGTTGAATGAAGTTGCTAGAACTGTATCTACGTGGGCTGATAATAATCGAATGTCACTTAACACAACCAAAACTAAATCTTTACTTATTACGACCCTGCAGAAACGCCGTACTTTAACCAGCTCGGCACTCAATGTCCAAATCGATGGTAGATCTATTGAGCAAGTAGACTATACCAAGATGCTGGGCGTTATGATAGACAGTGACATGTCTTGGGAGCATCATATCGATACAATCTGCTGCATCATTAGCAGTAGGCTTTCTCTTCTCCGTCGCATCAAACCTTATCTTAACTTTGATTCTGCTTTAAGATTCTATAATTCTTGTGTTAGCAACTACTTTATTTATTGTTCTGCTGCCTGGGGTAACTGTTCCCACCATCTCCTCTTACGACTGCTTCGTCTTCAGAAGAGTGCTGGGCGTATACTCCTTGATGCCGACCTCTCTCAGGCTTCTATTTCTTTATTTTTAAAACTTAACTGGATTCCCGTTTTTGATCTTATTAAATACAAAAAACGTTTTCTTCTTTTCATCGTACTCCTTAATCCGAATGCTCCTAAATGTCTCAGGAACAGATTTCAATTTCTTTGTGATTCGCGTGGACCTCTGGGCCGTTTTACAAGAGCCTCTCTCTACGACTTAAAGGTGCCATGCCCACCTAGCAACTCTGGGAAACGCACCTTGGCCTATACTGCTACTAAACTTTTTAATGACCTCAGTTCCGACTTAAAAGATTTTTCTATTTCTTTTTCTACACTGATATTTAAATTTCTTCCCTCCTCTCTTAAGTCTAAATTACGAAGTCTGTTTTTCTCACGCCTATCATCGGCTGACCACGTGGAGGATCTACTGTGCTCGACTTGCCGCTATTCTATTCATTGTCACTGTTTTTCATAGTCCTACTACAACCACTATTACGTCTTTTAATTTGTATTCATGTATATATGTATACATGTTCCTTTACAGTACATATTTTGCCCCCCTTCGTCGATTTATATATTATTCATTACGTGTTTATAGCCTATTCTACTTTAAATATTGTCTCTTTTGTGTATATATATATATTTATAAATTTATTTGTTTTTAGTTTTCTAAATTTATTTATCTATTTATTTATTTTTTGAGGGCCGTAGGTTAGAAAACTGTAATAGGTTATTGCGCTTCCCTCTTTAAATAAAGTTATTGTTATTGTTTGTTATTGTTATTGATGGCAATTGGAGCTTGACCTTGAAGGGCCGAGTTCTCGAATATGACGGGAATATGGGGTCGATGTCGTATGATTCTCGAAAACTGAGAAAAACGTTTCGTTGAGAGAAACGAAAGCTCATTTCTTGAGCTTGACGCAATACTCTCTAGGCGTTGAATTGAAACTTGTTGAATGTGTTAATTTTTGTTGTTGAGCTTGATTAAAATATGCCGTGACCTTGAAAGAAAATCCGTTGAACGTGACTTGATTTTGGTGAGCTTTACTATAAACTCCGGTTTATAGTAGAGACACTGAGCTAGTTGCTAACGATTTCAACCAATTTGTCTCCTCTGTTGGGAGAAATGCTGCTCAAACTGCTGCACAGTTGGCCATAGACAACAACATCAATATTTCAGATACAAGCCTAATTTCACCACCAATGACCAGAAACTCATCCGAGGAACTATTCAACTTCACACCTGTTACTTGTACGCAGGTTGAACGTATTGTATCATCTATGCCATCTAATAAGTCTCCTGGCCCCGACAAAGTCAGCATGCGCATCATCAAAGACTGCCTTACTGTTATCCTTGGCCCTTTGACAGACATTATCAACTGTTCTTTCGCAACTTCTACCTTTCCAAACTCCTGGAAAGCGTCTGAGGTCATACCACTACTGAAAGACGGAGATCACAAGGAGCCATCAAATAATCGCCCTCTTTCGATGCTTGCCGTTGCTTCAAAGCTCTGCGAGAAGGTAACACTCCAACAGTTCAGCAATTATTTACAACGTAACGGCCTCCTTAGTAAACATCAAAGTGGTAATCGTAAATACCACTCTACAGAGACTCTTAATATTATGATCAGTGACTTCTTGCAGATGCTATGGACAATAAGAGACTGTCAGCCTTGATACTATTAGATCTATCAAAAGCTTTTGACAGTATTAGCCATTCTATAGTATTACAGAAGCTGAGCCTTGTTGCCGCCGACAAAACCACGAAATGGTTTGAGAGTTACCTGACTGATAGAAGTCAGGTGGTCCGTATTAGCACATCTACATCTACACCCCTCCCTATCACCCATGGCGTACCACAGGGCGCCATACTGTCACCACTTCTGTTTTGTATTTATATCCGTGATCTTCCTCATGTTCCACAAGTATGCAATCTTGAGTCCTACGTAGACGACTCTAAGATCTTCTTATCCTTTCCAGTCAAGGATGCGGAGTCTGCAGAACGTGTTCTTGAAGAAGATTTAAGACGAGTGGCTGCCTGGTGCTGTAAAAATCAACTAGTAATCAATCCTGAAAAGACCAAGTTCCTTATGGTCGGAACACAACAACTACTGCGCAGGCTTCCGAGCGAAATCTCGATCTCTTTCTTCGGGAAAGAGATCAAACCTGTCTCCAGTGCTAAGGATCTCGGAATAATTCTAGACAACAACTTATCCTATGACCAGCACATCCATCAACTTACTTCATCGTGTATGACCAAACTTTGTCAAATAAACAGGGTAAAGAACAGTTTTGATAGGGACACGCTGTGCACAATCCTCTCCGCTCTAGTCCTAAGCAAATTACAACAAGATAGTTTTAAAGCTTCTGAGGATCCCACTGGGTTAGCTAAATGATTTCTTCACTTCCGTCGGCAGTATTACTGCTCAAAAAGCCAGGGACTTATCTTTACATCATGGACTTGACGTAAATTTGGATGTGCCGACTCCTTTACACATATCCACCGACGTTAGCCCCGAATTATTTGTGCTCCATCAAGTCACAGAAAATCAGGTAGAAAGGGTGATTAGAAGCCTACCATCTAACAAAGCTCCGGGAATGGACAAGATATCTTCTAGAATTCTTTAAGACAGTTTACCCAGTACGCTAACAACAATTACGCAGATTGTGAATAACTCTTTTGTTACCAACACATTTGCACGTGCATGGAAAACAGCAGAGGTTACACCTATTCTCAAATGCGGCAACCCAGATGTCCCTAACAACTATCGCCCCATCTCATTATTACCAATAGTCTCAAAAGTCACTGAAAGGTTGATACATGGACAACTTATGGAGCATGTAATTAGAAATAATAAACTGGCAGCACATCAGAGCGGAAATAGAAAGCTTCACTCGACAGAAACAGCTCTGTTGTACGTTACGGAACAGTTGCTCCAGGCTATGGATAGCAAGAAAGTTTCCATCATGGTCTTATTAGATATGTCTAAAGCATTTGATAGTATTCGACACGACATCTTGTTATCCAAGCTACAATATCTCGATTTTTCCCAGGGTGCGTTTGATTGGTTTCAGAGTTACCTTATCTCCGAAGACGCAAGTCTATTCACTATCATAACACTAGAAACAGAGAATCCCTTGATATTGACAAAGTCAGGACAGCGACGTTTCCTC